AGCCCAACGTCGAATCCTTCAGAATACGTGTTTCGCTTACTTCCTGCAATGCGAGGAAATTGTTATCCAATCTCAGCTGATACACTACTTTCTGCCGAGACAAGTACAACAACCTAATGAGAGTGAGTTGTGGTTCAACATAGCTGGAAGATTTGAACGGTTCTCAATTTTAGAATTTTGTTTGGTGACTGGTCTGAGATACATCGGCGATGATGACATAAGTAGGATGGAGAAGACTCCATCACAATTGAAAATTTTGTATTTTTCAACGTTGAAAAATGTTACTGATGAAAATATCAAGGACGCATTTTTTTGTTCTACTGACATTCCGGATGAGAATGTTCCATGCTAGGTGCATTGTATTTCATAACGTCTTATCTACATCCGAGAGACTACAAGAAGGCTGTGGATCACTTCTTATTTGTACTAGTTGAAGATTTTAGTGCGATGAATGTGTTTCCATGGGGTAAGTCGTTGTTCGACAAACTAGTAAATTCATTGAGGGAGGGGTTGAGTAAGAGATCAACACATTACAGACTCAGAGGATTGCTTGTAGCCTTTCAAGTGTGGATTTACAAGACAATTCCCAGTGTTGATGGATACACGACGAGAAGGATTTCCAGAGTGTACCCCAGGATAATGAACTGGACGGTTGATGATCACCCTTCGACTGCGAAACTTGAGGGACCTGAATGCTTCTCCAATCCGGACATAAGTGACCACCGATGCAACAGTACTGGTTTCGAAATATTAAACTGGAACATTTTTTTCATGTTCCAAATCATATTTCTTAGGTCACAAATATATTTCGTCAAGTCACAAATTGCATTCTCGAAGTCACAGATTTATTCATTATGTCACACGTTTTCAGTATAGGTCACAAACATTTTCACAGCGCCATTTGCCCTTGTTATATCACAATTACTGGAAACAAATTGAATATGTGTGATGTGCAAAATTATATCTGTTTGTTCATACATAATTTTTGGTTGTTGACATTGCACTTTTTGTTGTGATATGAATGGCAGTTGGAAATATGTGACCTGGACCCCCCACCAGCTGAAATGACAATGCCATACATGAGTCAGGTGCAGTATGAGAAACCTATCCTACCTGATCGGTCACACGGGGAGAAGAGAAAGGGTGGTAGCATACACCGATCAGATCATCGTGCTGGGATTAGTACAAAACTAAGTAATTCAGGAATGAAACAATCTACTCCCATGCTTTTGATAACTAATGGATGATTAGGACACTCTGATCTCCCCATTGATGATGATGACTTTGTTGACGCACCACCCAATTGGAAGGGGACATCAATCCATGAAGATTCTCCAAGTGGGGAGCGTAAGTCAGATGACACCACTGATTCAGAGGATATGTCGTCAAAAGATGTAAGCTCTTCCAATTTCATCTATCATGTCACAAGTCCATTTGGTCACATAAAAATTCAGGTCACAGGTTTCAATGATTAGGTCACATACCAATACACGTTTCACTGCTGATCACAGATTAATGTTATATTTCATCATCATAAGTTTACTGATTATAGGTATTCATGTGATGTAGGTGGTCGACGAATTGAGGAATTATTTCAAAGGGCAGATATCTGATCTACAGTCTGAGAATCGGTTGCTAAGCAAACAGCTCAAGTCAATGCAGTCACAGGTGTCATCTTTAAAGTCTGATCAGCAAAGGAAACTGAAGCTGCTAGTTCGTATGCAAGGTGAAATTCGTACTGACATGTTGGACATCAAAGCACACATGCAGTGTATGTCTGATTCTGTGACTACATTGATATCTAGTTCAATGGAAGAAATTATAAAAAAATTCAGAGAGAACGCAGGACCAGAAATTGTTGTAGGGTCTGGACCAACATGCAAAGTCAGTACCCCAACTGTGACTACCTCTTACTTGTCTGTTACCACAAACCGTTTGATATACACTTCTCATCAAATGTATTTTTGTTCTGATTTTCAGGGTGCAAAAGTAGAACGAAGTGTTGATTCGAAAGACAAAGCGAAGGTTGACTCTGTGTGTGCAGTTGAATTTCCATGTTCTATTGAACCTCCATCTTTTGATCTCGATCTTGGATTCACACAACCAAGCCAGATTGTTGCAAAAACATCTAAGGAAGTTGAAGTTCAAGTGGAATCGGTCATATCCGATGTTTTGAAAGACACGAAATGTTTTGAGCAAGAGGTATCAAAAAATCTATGTATTTTTGTTGATTAATGCATGTCACATATTAAAAAATACATTTTATTACGCAGCACTCACCTAAGGCTGCACCAAGTTCTGGATTGCCAGTAAAGAAGGCTCTAAAGCCAGCTAAAAACACTTCAGTCCCCTTATGTTGCCGACGAAATGAAACAAATGAAATCTTCAGGAAACGAAGTGGTCTTCAAACACTACAATCAGAATGTACAAGATGCAAATGTTGCTGACTTTCAAAATTGATTTCAAAGAGGATACAAACCGCATACAAGTACGAAATTGTTGTCCTATTTTCATAATGTTCCAAATAATGATTCGTACTTCTCGTTTGCAGGAAGAAGTTCAATGATAAAGATGATGTCATCCATCCACCTTTTTCCATCGGTCAGTACTTGGTGGGAAACAAGACATGGTGGTACGAACTTGTATCCAGGGAGGTGTCGTTGACTAATTCGGTAAGTTACTACACAAAGTAAACAGTTCTAAAGGGTATGTCACAGTACAGGTCACGTTAGTCATAGTTTTTTGTATACTAGTCACACAGAGCATGGGTCATAGATTACACGAGCAGTAGGTCACGGATGATGCGTAGGTCACAGATCACGCGAACAGTAGGTCACAGCGATGCTTGGGTCACAAATCACACGAACAGTAGGTCACAATCCGCGCTGCATAGGAAACACATATCTGCAGGTGCAACAGTATAGCACACGTCTTTATTACGTCCGGGTTCAGTTATTGAGTGGTCACTAACTACAGATTGTAGTGATCACACATTCTAGTCGAGTCACACATCAAATTAACAGCTTATTGCATCATGTTTTCTGGTGTATATATGGTTTCTAAATTGTTTATTGTACTTTCATCTCTATAGCATATGGACGTGTGCTTCTATTATATACGTCAACTGGCAAGAAGTATGAGAGATTTCAAGTTTGTAGCTACCACAACGGACTCATTGTTCCAGGCCAAGCTCAAGCACATGTATCCTAGGTTCAAGGATGATACAAATGTTCTTGTCACAGATGATAGACTGATTGACGATATTACCGGTGCACGAATTCCATTGAGCACTCCATGGGCTGAAGTTGACCTTGTGTTTATCCCACTTCTGCCTACCAACAAAGCATATTGGATGCTTGGAGTATTGGACATAAAGGCACATACGTTGCGTTTATTGAATTCGTCCAAGAAGACATACAATGATATCAAAGTCCGTACTGGAATTGAACCCTTTGTCAGCATGCTTCCGCATCTCATGAAATGTGTTGGAATATGGAAAAATGATTCCATGGAGTTGAATATGGATTTTGATTTCTCTCTTCCCCAACAGAAAAATGGGCAAATTTTTTTCCCTCCACTAACAGTTAAACATATTATAAAATGCTGGATTTCATAGCTAATATTCTGTTTTTTGCGTTCCTAAACATGATTGTAGCATTTACGTGGTCAAGTACGCGGAGTACATACTACATGACGATATATGAACCATGCCCATGAAGTTTGATGCGGGGAGAGTTCGGTTGGATGTAGCTTCACTGTTGTTCAAACATCGCGAAATCGGGAAAACTAGAAAGTCGGTGCAGCCTACTGGTGGGGAAAGTATTGTTTTAGAGTGATAATGCAATTAGAAGTAACATGTTGTAATAGATGGAAACAATGTCTCGTGTTTTGAAAATTCGTTTGTAATGACAACGCAATTCTTACTTTTGTCTGTTTATATCAAAAAGTTCATTAATGTTTGGGGACTTTACTACAATGTTTTTTCAGAAGTTTCACTATATATCATATTTTGCTATATTGACAATGTATCGAGGACAAAGTCTCAAAATTTAATGGTTACCTGCAGTTTTTAGGATTATCACAGGTCACCAGTTTTTAGGATTATCTGCAGTTCACAGGTCACTGGTTTGTGTAATTTGGTCACAGGTCAATTCCTATTGTCACAGGTCACTGCATCCTGGTCACAGGTTACCTACAATTTTTAGGATTATCTCAGGTCACCAATTTTTAGGATTATCTGCAATTCACAGGTCACTGGTTTGTGTAATTTGGTCACAGGTCAATTCCCATTGTCACAGGTCACTGCACCCTGGTCACAGGTTACCTGCAGTTTTTAGGATTATCACAAGTCACCAGTTTTTAGTATTATCTGCAGTTTACAGGTCACTGATTTGTGTAATTTGGTCACAGGTCAATTCCCATTGTCACAGGTCACTGTACCCTGATCACAAGTCATTGTATATTGTTCACAGGTCATGGAGAATTATCACAAGTCAATCCAATCTGGTCACAGGTCATTGAAGATTTGTCATAGATCATTTCATACTTCTGTCACAGCTAATTGCAACTGAACCACTTCCATTTTCCTGAGTCTTTGCAATATGTCACTGGTCATATTTTGTTGGTCACAGTTTATCACATATTTGTCACATGTCATTGGATATTGATCGTATGTCACTTTATCCTAGTTACATGTCTTGATAAATGGTCACAGGTCTCTACATATTGGTCACAGCTCATTGACATCTAGTCACAGATCATTTCATATATTCACAGTTGATTGCAGAGGGGTCACAGGTCACTGCATTCTGGTCACAGATAATTATACAAGTCACTGCATTCTGATCACATGTCATTAATAATGATCATAGTTACTGCATACGAGTCACATGTTATTGTAGAATGATCACAGATCATTAATATGTGTCATCCAATGTTGTGCATCCTACGTTTACAAAAAATCAATGAATGAAAAAAACGAGGGAATTATAAAAAATATATCAATGTGTATTTTCAGTCTTCATCCTCTTCCTCTCTTTATTCTTGTTGCTTTGACTCAACGGAACTAAGCTGCTGCATGTTCTATGATTGTGACCACTTTCACCACATCGATCGCATTTGACGGTTATGTTTTCCTCGTACGCTGGTCTGAATCTCTTGTCAGTAAGCCTTTCACAACTTCGCTTTTGATTAGGTGCAATTACAACTATGTCATGGACATCATTTGGCACTATCCATTCAGCTGGATTTCCTACTGGAAAAATGGTTTCTTGGTATGTATTTTTGAATGCTTCACTTTGTAGTAGTAGGAGCAATATTCATATGGATCCATCTTCATACTTGCAAACACAGCCAAAGCATGTAGACAAGGTAGTTGATCAACTTGAAGCATCCTACATGTGCATGTCCGATTTTCTATATCAACAACGAAAGAGGAACTTTCACCGCTAACTGAGAATATTGCCTGATTAATAGGGGAAACCTACAGATATAGACTCAAGTTATAGGCATAACAAGTCACGTAATTAAAAAGTAGGACACAGATGAAATTGTATGTCATGTAGTTATATATAATATTGCACAAATATTACTGAAACACAACGGTACAGATCACAGTAGAAGTCATAGCACATGTCACAAATCAGTTCAGGTAAGTCACAAATTATAGATTAGGTCACAGTAATCAAGTTTACCCTCAAGTTTCTCATATATGTACTAATTTCCCTCATCTTCTTCTCATACTTGATTGACAAGGTTGTAAAAGTGCCTTGGGCGTCCTCCTTGTGTCTACAGAACCAAGATTGTAGAATTTGTCTCAATGACTCCAACAAAGCTAGAATAGGGTAATTCTTGGCAGACTTTGTGACCGCATTAACCGACTCCACAATATTCGATGTCATTGTCGAATACCGGTTTGAAGGCATGTGGAAACGTGACCATCTCTCAGGTCCAACTTCGTCCTACAAACAAAAACATGGAAATGTGTATTATATGGTGTACAGTACCATGTTAAACGTATTTATGTGAATATCATCATAGGACAACGTATAGCATAGTACCAGATAACCCCTTATCTTTTCATTAATCGAGCCGAGTTGTTGCATTTAATATTCATATTCCAATAGTGTGTAGGCACGAACAGCTGCATTGAATGCTTGTGTTATGTTTTGTCCTGATCTCCCGTACCGTGATTTTAGATTTTGTAGTAGATGGTACGAACATATCCCGTGATATGCTCCCGGATACATGTTTTCAATTGCCTTTTTGATACTATTGTGACGATCCGACACTAAGCACAAACTATCTCTATCCCTATATGCTTTTCTCAACTGTCTAAAAAACTATGTCCAGGAGTTGTCATTCTCGTTATCCCCAATCCCGAAAGCAAGTACATAAATGCTGTTATTTGCATCTTGTGTACATGCCGTGAATAAGGTGCCACCATAGTGTCCATTTAGATAGGTGCCATCAACCACAACAATTGGCCTACAATGTTTCCATCCCCGTATAGATGCACCTAGTGCCATAAAACAATATTTAAACCTATTGTGACCATCAATTTCTAGACTTGTGACTGATCCAGGATTTGTTTGTTGTAGCACAGAAAAAAAGGCTGGTATCTTATTGAATGAATCAGTTGGATCACCCCTAAGCAATTTCAGAGTTTCCTCTCGAGATCGCCAAGCTTGGACATAATTCAAAGATACTCCATATGTATGCAGCATGTCGTTGCGTATATCATTCGGTGTGTATATTGTGCGCGATGATGTGTACTTGTACTTAATGCAAGTTGACACAACCATCTTTGTTACTTGTCTATGAGTACTGAGTACGATGTTTGAAGCACATATGTGACCTTCTGCAATGTGTCTGATTTTAAACATATCTGTTCTGGCTAACTTCGATGCTCTACATATCCAATTACACTCATCACGTGAACATTTTACAAGATAGTTTTTCTTATCGGACCGAACAACCACGTACTCAAACATGTTTTGGATTGCATAAAACGACAAACTCAATTTCATTATTTCCTTGTTACGGAAGACTCTTCCTTCCTCTACCTCCCTAGCATCTGCCACCGCCACAACTGTGACCTCATGCTCAAGATTGTCACTAGATGGATCCATTATTGCTCCACATATGTCTGATGACATATCTGTTAATGAAAATCCATGTTCGTTCGATTGAACATCAACTGATAGCGCAATAGGCTGTTTTTCGATATCTGCAGTTGTCACATCGATGTGAATTGGATATTTCGCAGGGTCTGTTTTTCGATATCTGCAGTTGTCACATCGATGTGAATTGGATATTTCGCAGGGTCACGACTCATATCCTTTAAAATCATGTAAGACAAGACATTCTCGTCACTTTTGATTGCTATTGGAGGCAGATCACTGTTCAAAACATACTTCATTGTCACAGCAACTTTTGCAGGGTCAAAGCTAAACTCTTTCATAACTGTGTCGACAAGCCTCACAAACCCGCAACTACGATCAATTAACACCAGTGACACTTGTGATCCATTCAACAGACACACGTGAATTAACCCCATTTTCTGAAAAATTAGCAAAGATATGATCAGCCTAACATCCAAATATATGTTAAATCTAACTGCAAATGGGTCAAAATTACGTTAATGGTCAAATGTCACAACAAACATATCTCGAATTTCAAGTATCATTGTCACGTATTGAATACATGCAGGTCACATATTTTTATTTCCCAGATTTTTTTTACGAGAGGTCACAGATCATTGCATAGGTCACGTGTGAAATTCAAGTCTTTATATATTGGTTACAGTTAATTGCATGTCGGTCACAATTCTGTTAAATGATCACAGGTCAAAGCAAACGCATGTCGTATCTTGAATGTCATGGTCACACATTGAATACATGCAGGTCACATGTACATATTAAATCACAATTACATGCAATAATTAGTCACAGTAACTAAGTATAGATCTGTCGCATATGATTAGATTCAAACAAGAGCATCCGTATCATAAAACACAGATTCAAACACATCACACATTTCGAGATACAAACACCCATGCATACTGAATGCATGAGGTTATATCTTGTATCCAGGGTCACATGTTTTCCATAACGGTCACAACAGTTTCGAACAGCAATGTCCGATATTCATGATCACAGTTCTGTCAAAAATCACATTTTTGATCAATCGAAACTTGTCTAGCATGAATAAACGACAAATTATAATAAATAAATCGCAATTACACACCTGACCAATTTAATTACACGCCTGAATAATGTAATCAGTGACTGTTCGAGACACCGTGTTTTAATCCGACGTCATACAACCCGCGACTGCAATTTGTGATCAGAATTCGGTTTCACCGCCACTTCCGCAAGAACCGGCCATAATTGGATGTATTTTCAGATCTTCTGGCTATTGAAATCAGATTGAAAGATGAATTATTCTTTTTTTGGAGAATCCTGATATTATGGTATCTCAGCCTATTTGTTCGGAATTGTTTTCCATATCAAATTATATTAATATTTATATTTATTTTTAGGCCAATTTCTGATTTTTGAAATATGATACTTATTTTCTTATTTTTGAAATGCCCTATACTTAATCTCTTGTATATGAAATTTTCCCTTTTCAAAAACTCTGTCAAAGAAGCCCATCGGAAGATATTTAGATTAAAACATAAATGACCTAGGGTTATAACTTGTATATATTAATTATTGGAAGAAGAGAAGAAAAATATTGAAACTCCGCCATTACATAACAAACTTCTCATATTATACACTGTTTGGTGGGGTAAAACACAGCGCAGGAGAAGCCATCACTTATTCATAATATCCTCCCAATTAATGGCAAAAGCTTTTCAATAATCTTAAATTCAATAATCCAAATCCTGTGGGGCCAGACCCAATTCATCAAGAACTTCTTTGCAGCCTGAGACAGACTCTGGTGTCATGAACCCAAGTGGGTTTGCGTAACGAACAGCATCGTGCATTCCACTGTTTTCAGTGCACACAATTCTAGCCGTTTCTAGGCCGGCCATTGCCACACTACAATCGGGTTCGGGACTCTTGGTTAGAGTCACTTCGCAAATGCTGTCCTCGTGATTTCCACTTACCGTGAGCTTATAGTGTCCATTGCTATCTGTTACGCCCTCGACCGAATAAGTCACATTCCTAGTTATCCGGTCAGTACATTCCAACTTCAAAGTTGCACCTAAACAAAATATAGAGCTACTTTAGATATTTCGAATTTTTGTATTTAATGATTAAATGTTACCTAAAATGATGTCTCATATACCAAAAATTGTTGAAAATTTACCTGCGATTTTGTGACTAAGCTTGGTCTGGAACTTGACGCGGCATGGATCGCAGTATACATCGCCTTCGACGTTGAATACTTCTGGTGCATGGCAATGAGCAACGGCGGCAAAGGCCAAGATGCAGAAAGCAAGAGCAACAACCTTTGCCATTTTTGTACTTTTTTTTGTCTCTCTTCTCTGGTCGTGTGTGAAAAAATGGAATGCGTTGAAGAGCCTTTTATATAGAGAAGGAAGGGTGGGGCAATAATTTCTCAAATGGTTTATGATCCCTCCCTACTTTTAGAGAGTTTTATTCTCTATTTTACCTTTACTCATATTTGAGCCAAGGAAAAATTGGATGGTTTTCCTTTGTTTCCCCTTTTTTTTTTTCTAAACTAAATATTAATAAATTTAGAGGTCCAATTAATTTATAGTAAGATGTTGGGTTTGAATACTTCGACCAAAAAATTTAAAAAAAAAATAAAAAAAATTTACAATTAAAATTAAGCTTTTTTTTATATATCACTGTAAATTATGGGTATCGATTAAATATTTCATCTTCCGCTCTAATTTTCATTCATCGACTGGATTAATAAAAAGTTAACCAGAAAATACACTCATCTTAGACATAAATTGAGAAATTTAAATGATTTTATATTCTCATAACAACTGCTTAAAACTTTTAAATTTTATGTTCTTATAACAATTGCTTCGAACTTTTCTCTCAAGTCCAATTCTAGTGTTTTTCGCATATAAACAGCAGTTTTATAAAACGATTCAAAAGCAAAAGTGTAGCATGGTATCACGTAATTTCATATTTTAACCTATATCAAGGTAAAGAAACTGAAAATTGTGATTTTCTCAGTCACAAGAACACGTGCAACAGATCATTTTCTGTGATGCTCAATTGATGAGGACAGGGAGAGATCAAGCTGAAACTACAAAATCACCGCCAGTTCACGTAAAATCAAGCTGAATGTATGGATGGTACATTTCAGAATGAAAATTGTTGCCCCTTTCGAATTGAAGCAAGTTAGAATTCCATATATATGACATCTGCCTCGTGGAGATAGAAACTTTCCAGTCGTGAAGTTCATAACCCAAAAGAGTAGAAGATTGTGTTTCAGATTTCGGCAATCTCTTAAGTAGTTTGTACAAGCCAAACACATTTTTCTGCTGCCACAGATATGGGATAAAGAATGACCGGTATTTGGGAGGTGACAATTCGCGATCTAGATATGGTAATGCTGCAACCACCTATGGCAGAAAACAATGAATGAATACACACCTCTCGATAGATAATAGATTCACACACATAGATTCACACACACACACAAAGAGAGAGAATATTTACCTCCCACATGTTCAAGTCACTCCCTCGAGAAAGATAAGGTCATTGCAGCTGCAACTTTACAAGGAAGGTGCATTTTTCTAGATCTTGGAGCTGCAACGTGTTAGGCCTCCCGTCCACTTCATCTACTCTAGAAGACTCAAGAAGGGGGGAGAATCATCTGGAACAAAGGTTAACTAAATTCTGTTTAGGAGCATGTGGGGAGGGGAATAAGTTTGTTAGAAACAGGTTATAAATAGGGGGCTTAAGGTAGGAGATAGTTAGGCAATTATTAAGTAAGGAAAAGGAGTCCTGTAAACATCTATACACTTGTAATTTCTGCAGTTTATTTCAGTCAATTTCCATTTCAGATTCAGTCTTCTTTTTAGAATCCTATCAAATTGGTATCAGAGCACCAAAATCCTGATGGCCCAAAAGAAAACCGATGGAAGGGTAGAAGTAATGGAGAAAGAAATCGAAGAATTGAAGGGCGAGATGCGACAGCTTCTAGGTTTAGCAAAATCAGTAGAACAGTTAACACAAAGCATGGCCTTGGTACTGCAATCCATGGAGGAAACTAGGTGGACAATGGTAACCATGGCAAATCCAAAAGCTGGAAAAGGCAGAATTATGGAGAAGGAACGATCCAGCAATGTTACCGAAGCATCACTACCACCAAGTAACCCTCCGGCAAGCAGGGGCGAACAACGCAGCCTGGAGCATGGCAAATGGCCAAAGGAAACGGGCGAGGCAAGTTTCGGTGAAAGTTTGGACAGGGGTGAGAATTGGCGAAGCATTCGTAAACTCGAGATGCCCATTTTCAACGGAGAAGACTCGGACGGGTGGTTATTCAGGGCCGAAAGATATTTTGACATTAATGAATTAACCGAGCAGGAGAAACTGGGGGCTATAGGGGTGAGCCTCGATGGCGACGCACTTTCCTGGCTTCAATGGAGGAGGCTCGAGCTCCGTTTCAAAATTGGAAACAGTTCAGGCAGCAGTTGTTGCTACGTTTTCGGCTGATGCAGGAGGGAAGTATGTGTGAAAGGTTTCTGGCGATCAAACAAAGGGACACGGCGACTGAGTCCCGACGGGAGTTCGAAGTCTTGGCTGCCCCACTGAAGGAGATACTAGACGAAGTCCTAGAAAGTACTTTTGTCAATGGGCTCAAGCCAGAAATACGGGTCGAAATCAGGATACTGGGCCCAAAAGGACTGGGCCAGATTATGGAGTTAGCCCAAGGTGGAAGACCGTAACTCCATAATCAAAGAAACAAGGGATTCAGCAACCCACAGAACCCCCAAATTACTCCCAAATCGCTGGAAGCCAGAGACGACTTTCCCTACCAAAACTGTCACGGTGGGAGAAAAGTCAATCGAAGACCGGCGAGAACGTCCGACCAGGCGTATGTCGGACGCGGAATGGTAGATGAGGTGCGACAAAGGGCTTTGTTTCCAGTGTGATGAGAAATTTACCGTGGGTCACCAGTGCAAGAATCGCGAGCTACGAGTTTTGTTGGTTGAAGGGGAGGATAACGAAGAAGCAATTGATGGTTCAGAGGCGGTACAACCCTTCGAAGTGGCAGACAAGGTAGAACTATCATTGAATTCGGTGGTAGGGCTAACTACCCCCGGCACCATGAAGTTGAAGGGAAAGGTAGGCTCAAGTATAGTAATCGTGCTAATCGACTGTGGAGCAACCCACAATTTTATATTAGTAGATGTTGTCCAGAAGTTGGGAGTTCCAACCACAGCAACAACAAATTATGGGGTGGTTATGGGAACAGGCAAGTCAATGAAAGGGATGGGAATCTGTAAGGGTGTGGTTTTGGAATAGCAAGGTTTGACCATAGTTGAAGATTTCTTGCCATTGGAATTATGGAGTACAGACGTGGTACTTCGGATGCAATGGCTGGGGAGTCTAGGTAATATGGAAGTGAACTGGAAACTTCTCACCATCAGATTTCGAATGGGCGAAACTTTGATGACGTTAAAAGGGGACCCAGGACTTAATAAATCCGGGGTTTCGTTAAGGGCCATCGTGAAAGCATTACAAAACGAAGGGCAGGGAATCTGGGTAGAGTATGACGAGCCAACTACTGGGATGGAAAATAGGGCGGAGTTGCCCAAGGGAGTGCAGACATTATTACAGAAACACCAGCATATATTTAAAGAGCCACAAGGGTTACCACCACATCGAGACACAGATCACTCAATTCTATTAAAAGAAGGAATTGAACCAATTAGTGTCAGGCCTTTCCGATACCCCCACATCCAGAAAAACGAGATTGAAAGACTGGTTCGAGAGATGTTAAATGCAGGGATTATTCAGCTAAGTGTTAACCCCTTCTCTAGTCCCGTACTACTCGTCAAGAAAAAGGACAGTAGTTGGCGGTTTTGTGTAGATTACAGAGCATTGAATAAAGTGACGGTTCCAGACAAGTTTCCCATTCCTGTGATCGACGAGTTATTGGACGAACTCCATGGAGCCACCGTATTCTCTAAACTTGACCTCAAGTCAGGATATCACCAAATCAGAGTTAGAATGGAGGATGTTCATAAGACTGTGTTTAGTACGCATGAGGGACATTATGAGTTCCTTGTCATGCCCTTTGGTCTCTCCAACGCGTCGGCAACTTTCTAATCATTAATGAATCAGGTTTTCAGATTTAGGGCCTATTTAAGGAAGTTCGTGCTGGTTTTCTTTGACGACATTTTAGTCTACAGTAAAGATCTCCCTACGCATGAACAACACTTGGAGATGGTATTTACCTCTCTGGCCGCCCATCAGCTGTATGCAAACGCGAAGAAATGCATCTTCGCCCAACGACAGATAGAATACTTAGGCCACTTGCTGTCGGCCGAAGGAGTGGCGACCGACCCAAACAAAATAGAAGCAATGGTGCATTGGCCTACCCCCCGCAATCTCAGAGAATTAAGGGGCTTCTTAGGCTTGATTGGCTACTACAGGAGATTTGTGGCAGGTTATGGGGCAATATCTTGGCTACTAACCCAACAACTTAAGAAGGACGCATTTGGATGGAATGGAGAGGCAGAAACAGCATTCCAGAAACTGAAATAAGCTATGACAACGGTCCCTGTCTTAGCCTTTCCAGATTTCTCTAAGGCCTTCATCATCGAAGCAGATGCATCAAGTCACGGGTTGGGAGCGTACTCATGCAAGAACAACAGCCCATCGCATATTACAGTCAGGTGTTGTCTGCCAAGTCACAACACAAATCTGTCTACGAGAGGGAGTTGATGGCAATTGTGCTCGCTATCCAAAAATGGCGACATTATCTCTTGGGAAGAAAATTCATAGTCCGCACCGATCAACGCAGCTTAAGATTCCTCCTTGAGCAGAGAGTCATCCCGCTGGAATTTCAAAAATGGGTAACCAAACTACTGAGGTATGAGTTCGAGATACACTATAGACTGGGGAGGGAAAACAGAGCTGCAGATGCCTTGTCACATGTCCCCAGCACAGTTGAACTAGCTGCTATCACAATTCTCCAGGTTATTGATGTCCAACTGATAAGCAATCAAGTGAAAAATGACCCGTTGCTTTCAAAGATTATGAATCCTTTACAAGAAGACCCAGATGCTTACCCTAGATATTCAATCGAACAAGGCAAGTTACTTTTCAAAGGTCGCCTTGCCATTCCTCAAACTTCTTCCCTGATTCCTTCTATCTTGAAGGAATTCCGTAGCAGCACCATGGGAGGACACTCTGGATTCCTACGGTCCTACAAAAGACTAGCCAGCAATCTCTACTGGAAAGGGATGAAGAAAGACATCCAGAAGTTTATGGAAGAATGTGCGGTTTGTCAGCAAAACAAGTCTCTTGCCCTTTCTCCAGCCGGACTCCTACAGCCATTACCAATACCCAGTCAAATATGGGAAGATGTTTCCATGGATTTTGTTGAAGGCCTTCCCACATCTGGTGGATACAATGCCTTGCTGGTTGTGGTCGATCGACTGAGCAAATATGCCCATTTCCTACTACTGAAACATCCTTTCACAGCCCCAGGAGTAGCAGCCCTCTTTGTTAAAGAAATCAAACGGTTTCATGGTGTTCCTAACTCCATCATCTCTGACCGGGATAAGGTCTTCCTAAACCATTTTTGGATGGAAATTTTTCTCCTGCAGGGAACAACTCTACGCCGGAGCACCGCCTACCACCCTCAAACGGATGGACTGACTGAAGTTATTAACAAGTGCCTAGAAACATTTCTCCAATGTTTTTCCTATGACAAACCTAAGAGCTGGTCCACTTGGGTTTCCGTGGGCTGAATATTGGTATAACACGACATTTCACACTTCTACAAATACCACTCCATTTCGAGCAGTTTATGGAAAGGACCCCCCGCCTCTAATTTGTTATGGCAGCCAATCCACTGAGGTACAATCTGTTGAACATCAGTTGCAGGAGAGGGATCTAATGTTGGATGAACTGAAGGCTCATCTTAGTCGTGCCCAAGATAAGATGAAGTTAATAGCGGACCAATGTCGAAGGGATGTCCAATATGATGAAGGGGATTTAGTCTATGTCAAGTTACGTCCATACCGCCTTCGTTCTTTGGCAAAACGACCTAATGAGAAGCTGGGGCCTAAATACTTTGGCCCGTTTGAAGGGCTGAAACACATAGGACCAGTAGCCTACCGTCTGGACTTGCCTTCCAGCGCAACAATACATCCGATTTTTCAATTATCACAATTGAAGAAGGCCCTGGGATCAAACACAGTACATCAATTTGTTTCCCCAGCAACTCACTGCTGACTTGGAATGGGTTGTAGAACCAAAGCAAATTTTGGGCAAACGTCAAGCACCTTTACGTCAACCTCCAGGGAAAGAAGTACTTGTACAGTGGAAAAACTTGCCTGCGACAAATGCATCTTGGGAATCAGTGGACTCCATCTTACAACACTTCCCCAACTTCCACCTTGAGGACAAGGTGTGTTTGGAAACTGGGGGTAGTGTTAGGCCTCCCGTCCACTTCACCTATTCTAGAAGACTCAAGAAGGGGGTAGAATCATCTGGAACGAAGGTTAACTAAATTCTGTTTAGGAGCATGTGGGGAGGGGAATAAGTTTGTTAGAAACAGGTTATAAATAGGGGGCTTAAGGTAGGAGATAGTCAGGCAATTATTAAGTAAGGAAAAGGAGTCCTGTAAACGTCTATATACTGGTAATTTCTGCAGTTTATTTCAGTCAATTTCCTTTTCAGATTCAGTCTGCTTTTTAGAATCCTATCACAATTATTGGCACAAAATAAGAGG